GTTTACTGTGTAAACTTGAATTTTTTTAGCACTAATCGTTGATACCTCGAATTTCCTAGATCCTAGGAATTTCCTACTGTTGTATTATTATCGGATAACTATTGAATTCTTGGATAACTCAAATGTTTGGCCAGACCCTTCAATTGTGACTTAACCGTCAGAGTCCGATTGTATTAGGTTAAAAAAAATTAATAAAAAATACTAATTGTATATTTTTATTGTAACTTTTTATATTTTACTTGATAATTCAGATATACTTCTCCTGGGATAATATTATGTTACATTAATTGCAAAATGAATAGGCAGCATACCAAAATTATTAATTATTAATAAGTAGTCAATATTTAGAACTAAGTGTTATCGATATTCAAACATTTTAGAAATTAGTTATAACTTGACTTGCAGAAATTGCCTAATCCTTTGCTCTCCAGCCTTAATAAATATTATATTTATATAAATAATCGAGACCTTTTATTTTGGTTTCACTCGCATTAACAAAACGCAAAATAGGTTATTGTCTTCGCTCACTGACATGAAGTTATACTCATAGGCTGTACTGGAATAACTCGCGAAACATTGTATAATATTATTTATTAATCTCGTTCCTACTTATTTTAAATATTGGAACTATTGAAGTATTTAACCCTCTACGAGATTTGGTCACCTCTGGATATTTTTACTCGTTTTGGTTAGGCATATTTTTTTACATTCCAATAGTGATTGCTGTGTAAAATAATAATATGTAATAAAATAAAGATGGGTTCAATATTATACAAAAATAATCATACTATCCAATCTTGCACAATCATCATCGGAGCTTAAAACATTCATAATATTCTTTTCGAATATTAAATATCGTAAGAAGGATACTACCCCTCCACTGCCAAATATTTCCCGATTTAACTTAGTCAGTTTTATAAACTATGTTAATAAATGTGTTACCTAATTGATATTTCTAGCCCTCCTCCTCCCACCAGTTTTGCAACAACTTTAGGCCCCTGCTGTTGCTGAAACTATGCTGAAAACAGTAACTGATAAACGTCTCTATATTGATCAATATTAATATAATACGGACCAGTCACTGTTCATTACTTTCCTGTAAAATGTTTTATTAAAAAAAAATCATTACGACGATATTATATCGGTTTACACACATTATATAGGTAACATGTCACCTACATCTTTAATGTGATGAAAATAATTTTCCAAAGTAGTAATAAATAATAACAATTTTATTTAATAATAAGACATTAATAAATAATATATATACAATACAACAAGGAAGTATTAAAATTCTATGACTACATAGTTGAAACTAATTAATATCACATTATTAAACTTATTATTTGTATTATTATTAATAATATATTATAATATACTTATAGTTTAGAGCCTAACATAATAACAATAATAATATTATATTACTAGATTATTGCAATTAAGTAAATTTTAGACATATCGTGATTATTATTATGATTTTGGAATACTACGCCTTGGAATTAAGTTGACACCAACAATGATTGACAATGAATATCTTTCGAAGGATAAAATATTACCATTGTGATGTACAATATATTTTGTTATAACATATATTGAATAGATAATGCCCGATTTATGTAAAATAATTTGTATACATATCTATTTTTTTTTTTTTATACTAAATATATCCATTTTGATGGAAAACATTTGATTCAATATAATAATAAAATAATTTTCCCTAACCATTATGCATAAAACTGGGTCACGATTCGACGAATGATATTGCGAAGATTTATGAACGATTAAAATAATAGTATGGTAGTCGAGGGTTTCTCTTTACAATAAATTATTTTTGTTGACCGGAAATATTATATATAATGTATGTATGTTCTTATATTATTATTTATTAAAAATTAAAAAAAAAAAAAACAACAAACAATCAAAAGAAAATTATTTACAAAATAGATTTGAGGTAATTATTATTAATGAATAGAATATTATAATAGAATAGAATCGAGAATTGAAATATTGTTTTCGTTAACATTTTTTATACAACTGAGTATAATATTTTGATTTTGATATTTTCTAAGTAATATTATTATTTAATTAATTTGTAAACGTTTGCATGGAAATCGTTGATTGACTTCCAGGGTAGACTTATTTATTAATACATATTTTATTTTCAAATTCTGTGACTAAAAATATTATAATATATTATTATCTTGTTTTAAATCAAATTTAAACGATAAAAAGATAAAAACACAAATTTAATATAACAATGAATATGACTATTTTTTCGCCGTTCTAAGCTCTACAATACATACATTTTGACAGGGTTTAACAGATAAAATTATTAAACATCACATGATGTTAACATCGTCACTATTTTGATTCAGTATTATACCCATTCAAACTAATTGTCCTTCTAAATGCAATTGTTTCGTTCGAGCAATTAATTTCATTCGTTTCAGTCGGAATAACAAAAATCGATTGGAATTTTGAACAATAAATTATATCGATGATTGACCGGATAAAACACAATTTCTTCAAATAAAGTATCATATTATTTTATAATATTTTGACGTAAACATTTCCGACATATTTTTTTAATAATAAATTATCATAATAATTTAGAATACTTTTAAACTATATCACTATATACTCTTATATAAAACAGTCCATATTTTGTAGACGACAACGAAAACGAAGGTCTGTGTAACAATAATAATAATTAATCTTATAGGAGGGAAATATACTTAAAAGTTGGCGGGGATGGCGTTGCGTGTGGTGTGAGGAGGAATGGGTAATGGGGAAAGTGGATACGAGGGGGCTCGCAAAAACGACGAACTCTGTAAAAACATTTCTGTTCAAATCATATTTTGAAGTATTATTGTGTCCTTTGACAAAATATCGGTTTAAAATAATATTATAATTATTCCTACACGAGTCGATCAAGTGTTTTTATTAGGTAATATTAAGTACGCATAATACAGGTATTACTACATTATATTATTATACATCTTGTGGTGTATAGTCGTAGATTTTGTTCTAAGTAGATTTAGTAGCAGTAAAATATAAAAGTATTATATTATTATTATACTATATTATAATTTTATATTGTTCTCATACCACCCGAACACCCTCTACGATCAACAATACCCCCACTTCAAAATGTAGACAATTTAATTTAAACAAATTGCACTGTCTGTACTATAATATTTGAAAGTTTTGATGACTGATTAATGTGATTCCCAATCGGTCATCATTAATTATTATCAGTCGTTGGCTAAGCAGAACATCGTCACAACTTATTCATTTAAAGCATGTTATAATCGACTCGTATTGAAAATGGAATGTAAAATCGTAAAAAAAAAATGTAGTTCCAAACATGAAATCGGTACAGATAGAATTTGAACTCCAAGCTCGGCAGATCGCCGATACATAAACCGAAATGTATGAAAAACAAATATGTAATATTTTTTTTATTTCTTTCTTTTTATTAACCCAGAGGTTGGTTTACAACTCCGATTCTCCATTCTGACCGATTGCACGCATTTTCTTCAAGTTCCTTAAAGGTTTTGACTCTTGCATCACATTTAATTTGTCCTATATAAGAGTTACGCGGACGTCTTGCAGTTCTCTTTCCTTCGATACCATCTAATATTATGTTATGCAACTCTTCTGGATGTCTCAGGGGCCAGGGCATGTCCAACCATTGTCTAACGTCTTGCTCTAATCACATCTATGAGTGTACCTTTTTCTCCCACAGTGCTGAGTACTTGTTCATTTGTTTACCGTTCTATCCAACTTATCCCTTTCCATACGCTTCCAACACCACATTTCAAAACCTTCTAGTTTTTTCTTTTCAACATATCATTTATTACCCATAATTCACATCAATAGTTGCAATACTCCATACACATGTTTGGATAAGTCGCTCCGGACAACATTTTTACACTGAGAGAATCCATTTCAGAAGACAAAATAGTAGTTGTCTACTAGGGATATTAATGTGCTCGTTTCCCCTTGCCTTCCACATCGCAGCCCAAGCCCTATCTCTAGGGATTGGCGGCCAAGTGTAGATAACGTTGTTCATCTACACTTAGTACTAGGAGCGCTGCTGCCCAACCCTAGGTCCATTTAAGTCGTTTCTTACTTCAGACATGTAATACCGTGGATTTATTCTAACCCCCATCCAAAGGGAAAAAACAAATATGTAATATACAATCACTTAACGGCAACGATGATAAAAACCTACAGTGGAATCTCGGTATCTCGAAGTCTGAAGGGACAAAAAACAATTCCATATATCGAAACTATGAGATACCGTGGGGTTTCACTGTAATAATTTAATAAACGCTAATAGGTATGATGTAATACTATCGGTTTTATCGGATATTGATTTTATGATTTGATCAGCTCGATGTTTTTACCAACCATTTTTGGTTTTTCAATATATTGGGTGTGATTTTTTTAGAATATCGAATTCATGTTCGTTTTTTTTCAAGTTACGGTTTATTAGGAGAACATAAATGTGAGTTGTTATGAATCATACATTTCTGTTTCAGTTACTAGGTGTATACCGATTTCGACCAGTTACAATTATAATATTATCATCCTGTTCACGAATCAAAGAAAAAAAACAAAAACTAACAAAGTCATTAACGCGGGATAAACTCCTCAAGTAGGTACCTGCCTACTATATTATTTATTATAAAAATATCGGTTCCGGTTACCAAAATAATTAAACGACAAGGGATCCGGGTTTTCATATGGGTTTCGGAACCGCGGTTTCTTTTCGGTGGCACACAGGGTTCCCACACCCACGACTCACCCCACCAACCACTCTATCGCTGGGCTATAGGTTAAACGGCCTCGCATCCCTACACAACGCGAGTCCCTACACACACTACGGACATACAACACGACATAGATTATAATATTATATTATAGGACGGGAGATGTAAAATCGAACGAAAAACTCTGAAATGTAAGAACAACAACAAAACACGGTACGTTTATCACAGAATTCGGCAATATTTGCTCTTGTTTTTCACGGGCGTGGCCGACATCGACGGCGTGTGCGCGGGCTGCTTGCCGCCGCCGCCTCCGCTGCTGCTGTAGCCCGGCGTGGACGCCGGCGACGTGAACACCGGAAGTGACGCGGAACTGATCATGTTGTGCTGGTCGGCGGTGGCCGCGGCGTCGGACGGCTTCGCCGGGTCGGAAGTCATGGAGGCGGACCCGCCGCCGCTGGCCGTGCTGTTGTACAGCGACCGGCTGACGCGGTTCCGGAACGACCGGCTGGACGTGGGTTTTTTCCGGAAGCTGGAGAACTTGGCGCCGTTCCGGTGGAACGCCGCGGAAGTGTCCAGATTCAGGTCGAGGCTCTGCGTGCGGCAAGGCAACAACAGAAACAAAAACAAAAAAAAAAACGTTTCCGATCAGTTTGGCAGTTATGACGACCAAGCGTGGCGCCACAATACGATAATATCGTTAAAATATTATCATATAAGGCATATATAATACACGTATGGGGGATTAGCCCCAAGCGTGCTCACCGCCGGTTTTTTTTTTTCATTTGACCACAAATTTATTCGATTTCTTCTCTTTTGGAAAGTTTAAACATGGGTTCCCGAATATTTTCGGTTTCTTTAGATTTGTCGTACTAACACTCAATAAGTAGTGTGTGTCCCTGCGACGAGACAAACTTCTGTTTTTCAAACCAGAACCCTTTTTTTTACTGTAAATTAATCAGTGGATAATTTTTTTGAACATTTTGATGTACCTAACTCACAGCGAGTAGTTTCTCAATTATTCAAATGTTTATAGTAATACCTATAAGGATGAAAGTTCTAAAAAATAGATTTAGAATTGGATCTTTAGTTTAGAGATCTAGAGATATTTGGAATATTTTTAAGTGATTAATGTTAGATTAATGTTTATAACTAAAATTTTTGAAACACTATTGAAACCATAAATCCCAAACCTATTATCATTAGTAAATAAAATTAAATAACTCAAAAACTACTTGTTCGAATTTTGATTTTGATACGTTTAAATAATTTAAATAATATATAAAAGGGGAGAGGATTGAGGATTCTCATTTGAATAACAGAAGTTAGTATTTCCACAGGACATTCATTAAGTAACAAAAAAAATCTCAGATATTTGAAACTATGGTCTTTACGTATATTAAAAAATTCAAAAATCAGATTTTGCATTATTGAAGAAAAAGTGGGTGAGCATGCTTGGTGTATCATCCTGTATAGCGGTGGCGGTGCGGTAATAGGTAGCTGAATATTGGTATATTATGTAGGTATACGAATGATAATATTCCGACCTAATAATGATTAGGGTACCTATTTATAATATAAATATGGTACCTATTTAAAATATATTAAAACGGAACAACAATCAACACGATTTGAAAAGTATTCGGATGCTTAGAGATCTGTTGAGATCTTCTGTGTTTCATCTACCGATGATTATAGTAGTTATATCAACGTGTTCCCGTATACAATTCAAACGGTTCTATGTAAGTAATTTTAAGGAAATTTAAAAAAAAAAAAAATCGAATTAGACATTATTTAGGTACCTAAAAGTATTTAAATATGATTCATTAAAATATATTACTCATTATACAAGACGTGGTCCCCCACGTAACTATCGTTATAAGTCATTGCATAATATTATGATGAAATAATAATATAGACACAAACGATTTCGCGTGCGGAAAAGAACTAGTTGTACGGGTAAGAAACAAATGTTCACCATAACAAGAGGGAAGCGGTGGCTGTGTGATATTGTTATTTTGTTTTATTTGTTGTTATTGATATTTTGCTTATTTCACTATAAATAAAGTTATCAAAATGTGGAAAACATAAAAGTGACAGACATTGTAGTACGTAATAACAGAGTATAATATTATTGTTTCGTATTAGTGATTTCGAAAAAAACAAAAACGATGCAGCCTAGGCTTAGGATTCAGATATTTAGGTCGTCTTTGAAATGCACATGATAATTATTTTCATGCAACTTTCGTACATAACAATACGTATGTAAGTATAATAATATATTTGAAAAAAACACTAAATTAATTAAATATCGTTTCAAAATAGTTATAAATGGAATGATCTTTAATTTTTATATTACGATAGACGAAATTCTTATAATTCTTATTATTGCTGAATGTATACAATGTTATAATATTATAAACATTCAGTGACAATCACACGCAGTACTACTGATGTTAATAAAATATTACATTTGGTTGATTCCGGTGATTTATAATAGTACACAACTTATTATTATAGTCGATTCTGTCAAATTATAAGCATTTTTCAAAAACGATTGTTCCCTTTGTCCAACCATGGATATTTCAAACTTAAAGATCTCCTCTTTTTACGGTGAATATTTGAATTCTCATCTATAGGGTTATATTCCGAGATAAATATAATATAAATATAATATACAATAAGCGTACTTTAAATTTTGGTACGTTTGCGTCCGGTAAGCGAAAGCGGTTCTATAATGCATCGTTAAGTGTAACTCGCAATAAGACACAATGCATTTGAATGAAACGAACAACAGGTGTGCATTATCGATGTAATATTAGATATAGGTAAAAAGTAATGTATTACGTGAGGTGGCCGGTCTTGTTTAACCTTATAATAGTATTTCGATAAAACTTTATGAATAATACGTGGTTCAAAAAATGTGGAAACTATTCGTGAAATTCAGAAACAAGAGTGTATAGGTATAATATTACTGTTATCATTAGATAATAAATAATAATATCATATTCTAAAGAAGTATAGTGAGTATAGTGACTAAAGGAAAGTTTCGATTCTAAATGAATATATTGGGAATTATATTTTATTTACTTATGTGAATATAAAACTATATATGTTATGCGTAGATTATACAATGTGAGCCTACATTATAATAATATAGGTAATACAATATTACGACAATCGTACTTTAAAGAAACTCATTTATACAACAACAAACAAAACAAATTATTATAGTACTCAATATAATATTATCATTTAGTAATTTTTTTGCTGTAAGTATAAGCCATATAAATGCATACAATAATGAAATAAAAAATTAATAAAAACTGCAAATTCAACGAAAATGAAAATGTGTGTGTAAAAATATCAAGGTGTATAACATGTTGCCTATGTCCTAGCATTCAAGGCTTACTTAAAAAATAAAATAAAGTAATAATTCAAATATGAAAAAGGTTCAAAATATTTTAAATACAGTCATATTTCGGACGTTTGGAGTATATATTAATATTTAATAAGATCATATGAGTAATATTTACATGACAATTCATAAAATGTATAAAAAAATAATCAAATTTTAAGTGTTATAATATCAATTAAAATTCAAATGAAAATAGATTTTCTTGCTGTAGGATACACTTTTTAAAATACTTTACTACATACAGGATATTTAAAATAGATACTTATGAAAAGGTGCCGAAACTAATAAAATAATGGTGCATATTTTGCTGCTTAACCATAGTTAAAATTAAATATTCAGACAAACCAATGCTGATCATCACGGTTGGTTTCATATATTCCATTTGAATAGTCATAGTTCCGATTTTTATTTCATTCACATTTGAACAGTTCTTCAATTCTTGAAATTAAATTATTCGATGGTGTACGACGTAAATTATTAAATAAACATTATTCTAATCCAACACATACTACTTAAATATCCATGGAATTTAAATTGTTAACAAATAAATAAATATAATTAATTTAATTTGTTGTTAAATTAGTAGATATTAATGACATTACAAAACATAATGTAACATTACTTTTAAATATTATTATACAATAACAATAATTTTTATATAATATTATAAACATTTAAAATCAATTTAAAAATAATACTCAAATATATATAACAATAAATAATTTGAAGCAAAATTTACATTTAACTATAATATAATACTTCACTAAATGAATTATAATCTTAAGCAATATATTTTGAATATAATATATAATATATCTTCTTTAAAGTGATTTCATTTTTATATTTAAATGAAACAAATTTAATAGAAACTGTAACAAAAGTTCAATATTATATTTGTAATTTGTAAATAATTATTTATAATAAATTATAATTATGTTTACAATTATTCAATATTTGTTTGATGTCTTATACATTATAAAATATGTATTGGGTCAATACCTAACCAATACTTCTGATAGAGTTTCGAAACTTTCCTTATTAATATTATGAACAGAAATTCAAGGAAAAAAATTATAGGTACCTTAATTAGGTATGTTTACCATGTTTCTTACTAACTTTTGTATTGCTTTTCTTCGTGGAATTTTGGGTAGTGTTCAGTGTGGTTACTGTGAACTCTATGTCTTTCGTGCTTTTGTGAGCTACAAATATATAAGCCAGTTAAACACGGTGTTCCAAAAGCATTTTAATGACTTACTAAAAAATTCTTCGACAGGAATTTCAATTTTGTCGTGGTCAATCCACGTTAAGCCCATTTCGACTTTTTCTGCCAAATCTTTCCAGTGCTTTCGATTTTCTAGTGTACCCTCGTACAGTGGCATGATCCACGGGAAAGTGTCACATAGAACCTACAGACAAATTCGAAAATTTATCATATCAAATAATATCAAACTCGTTAAATTCAATTGCAATACTTTGTACAGCGGCAAACAAATGACATCGATGAATTCAACTTGCATCTGTGGTAGTTCATCTTTTTTTTCTCTATCCATCATAGCCTGTCCAAGGTGATTGAATTTAAAATTAATACCTTCATATATTTTATTCTATACAACTGTCAAGTTTACCATCGGTTGTTGGTTGAGTTGCAACTTTTCCAAATCGCCTTGGTCGAAAAATTCGTCGGCCACGAGCTTAGCCATTTTATGTTGAACTTCCCAAGGCTTTGCAATAGCACTCACGTCGCAAGCAGTCATCAAAATACCACACAACACTGAAAAACGATAATAATATTAATAACAAAATAAATATAATAAAGATATTATTAATTTTTGTGTGTATAATAGATATGACTCCAGTAAATAACAAAAAAATTGTAAAATGTATGTATAGTAGATACCTAATATGGAAAATTCAAAGTTTGGCTATATTGCTTGATAAGAAATTTATATTGATTCAGTGAAGAAAAATTAAATAATAATAAAAAATAATAACAACACTTAAGAAATCCACTCACGAGCTTTTTTCTCTTCGCTTTGCCAATCAAATTCACCATTTTCAACGACCTCCATGAATCTGTTTTTCTTTTTGAAATACATTGCCAGGTCGGTCGACAGAATCGAGTTCTCCACCAGCTTCATAACACAACGATAATCTTCCGGCGACAGCGCTTGGAATATGTTGTTGCCGTCGCTGTTTAGGATCATTACGCATTGATCGAAGTGATGGTGTTCCATTGTACTGGTCGTATAAAGGATTGCTAACGGTGATTCGGTCTTCGTCTGGAAAGCATTGTTCGTGCCCCGGTGATCCAGATCGTGACACAAACACGCCACCAGCAATCCCAAGATCTAATAATTTAATTCAGGCATAATTAGTATAATATATGGTACGTCCACGAAAAAGAACAATTATTATCCTTTTTGCGTACGAAACTCGGTTATCCTGACTGACTAGTTGGATGTTTTGCACCTGGACATCCCATTGGTAGTCACCGGATCTCAAGCTATATGATTTTTTTGTTTTCTGGGATAGGTACCTTAAAAACACTGTGCACTTACAGTGAGTACAATGTACATTTATGATGAATTTGATTATCGATTCATTTGGGATGTTTTCGTCTATGATATGCCACGTGCCCACATCAAACACGCATCTTAAGTACCAGAAGGCAAAAACTCAATTTTTGATTTAGTAAATTATTTTAGTTAATGAACCCATCGCTCTAAAAGTCTACACCTAAGAACTGAAAATGTATAATTACTTGAAACCATACAGATATGAATCATGCATGAGTCATGATTACTGAAAAATAAACAATCTTTACATTTTGAACACTTTAATTTGTATTCACTTCTATCGATTTTACATCAAAGTATAGCGGACAAGTCGTACCAGCCCAATAACTATATTATTATATTAATTGAGAGTGAGATTTGTGTTTACGTTACAGCGTCGATTGACGGGGATAAAACAATGAATAATATTTCACATTTTTACAGTAATCGGTAAACGCTTACTTCCAAGTCGCTCATGAACCTTTCCATCTTTCCGGTTTTCAACATGGCGAACATAGTCTGGGCCACGTTCAACGCGTGTCTCCAGTTATGATATTTTACTGGTCGATAATTTTTCCTCACACTTAACACCCATTTGCAAAGGACCTGGAAATAAAACGTAGGAGTTAATACAAAATAATATTATGTTATTATACGTTTGGTCGACATAAATTATCAGCCAAATAGGGTTTTGGTACACTATATTTTTCGTTTCATCGACATCAGACAGAATATCATTACATTAAATAATATTATTTTATTATACTATTAGTGTCATACACTAATAATATTCTAATAATATTATTAGCGTAATAATGCAAGTGTTCTAGCTGGCGGATTAATATCATACTATAATGTGATGTACGAACGTGATATGGAATTTGGAATTGTTGCACTAGATTGCACTGCAGGAACATACGGATGGTCGCTTTACACGTATCGTCGTCTGACAAATCAAAGTCTATGAATTTAAAACTGAAATGAAAAATAATTAAATATTAACAACAACAGTATCTCGACCGGAGTGGACATTTGAAATTAAATTGTACAAATATCATGTACCTACATTTAAGTATTTATTTAACAACTACTTATTAACTATATACACTATACAGGTTAAATAAAAATCATTGTAATATCTATTCCATGTTATTGCAGACAGTATTATTACTAGAACGTTTTTATTTAACTTATGGCATAATGATTACTACCTACCTAGTTGATTTAACCTATAGATTCGTTTTGTATTTTTAACATTTAAAAAATGCATTAATATAAAACAGTTTTCAAATTGACCCATTTATGTACTTTTATAATATCATAATGTATACACTGCAGGTACCTATTATTTTTACTATATAAAATAATGTTGATTTAAAGCAGTTCACGGAAGTATAAATTATATTAGACATAGTTAAGAGAAATTGAATTGCAGCACAAGAATTTCCATTAAAAATAAAGAAAATATTTTGCTTGACATTGGCAATAATAAGTACTTAATTGAAATGAATTCATTATTATTGAATTGGAATTTTAATTATGTTATGTTGGTGTATTGTTGAATATCGATTATAAATAAAATTACATTATATGTATTATTAACATCCACATTAAGTATATTTAAAAACGATAGGGCTTTTTTATTTTGATGAGTTACCAGTACCTATAGGTACCGGTTATATAATTATCTAAATAATTTTTTTTTTTATTAAGTGAATACCTAACTTATTCGTGAAAATCTTTATCTACCTAATCAAAGTACTTAGCTCAAATTTTAAATGTGTTTACGATTAAAACTTATAAACGTATAATATGCACTATTTCAAGCAGTTCTAAATACAATGGCCAATTAAACATTGTTCAGTTTTAATTACCGTAAGAGTGTCAGCTGTTTGTTTCGATATTTAATTGAACAAAACTCGAATAATAATACGTCGTCTACGCGTGTTTACAAATTATTGGTCATGACTAAAATAAAATAAATCCTGGGAGCAGCTCTGCAGTAGATCGATTTGAATTCAATGATAAATCATTGTATACGATGAAAAACGATTCTGATCGGAGACAGACTGCCTGTCAGTCTATTATTTGAAATTCAAACCCTCATAAAAAATTTAAGTGGCTTTAAGCCGAACTTTTTTTTTTTAATTCTTATGAGGAAAACTTATCAGAAACCTTGTGTATAAAATTTTCAAACCTTGGGTATACAAATTAAAAGTTTAATGAACGTTGGCTAAAAAATAGTTCTCGAATTTTCTCGATTTTTATTTTTTATGTATACTTACCTATCGTTACATTTGAAATTCATATACGCTTATAAAAACAATCATGACCAATGTATTTTTTAATTTCTCTTATAGGAAACATTTGTAAAGGAATCTCGTAATACATTTTCAAATAATATTTTATTCATAGACAAATATGAAATATTGTATTATACAACAGTAAAATATTAAGGAAGTAGGCCAACCCTCGGGGAAGTGCTCAAACAAGGATATTGAGATTTTCGATGGACATTTTTGTTTATAAATGGTTACCATTGGTTATATGAGAAATAATTAGTAGAAATTAGTATTTATTATTTTATTGGTTGCCGTTGGTTAATAGGGCATATCAAGCTTGTATCAAATGAATTTTCGCACATTGCCTACCAAAGTGGATGAGTTGCACTGACCGCAGTGACTTACGCCCAAAAGAAGTTGAACAATCATAATTTTTATAAGAGTTGTCATTTTTTATGGGTAATGAAGTCTAAGTATCGGATAGTCTAAAAGAAATGTTAAAAATGAATATTAAAAAGGAATATTATAGGCACCTATATTTTTGCGTTCATCATATTGGTATAACTTATAATAACGATAATATCAACTATGGTATAAGTAACGGATGTTTTTGTCTGCGTGTTTTGTCCAATAAATTTATTAAACGAGTTGTTAAAAAAATAAAAATAAATAAACTAGATAGGTATAGGCACCTGTATAAGTTGTACGTCTCGGCCGAAGGAATTTTGTCCTGCGCTAATTTGATGGTATCGTCCACGGACGCGGTCGCGTGATACGACAGACATTCGAGGGCCACTTTTTGTTTGGCCATTAGTTTACCTGAAACACGAACACAATGTTACAGTTAAGGGCCCTGCTCGCGATTTTTCAAATTTTCCGCAATTCTATAAAATTTGAAAATTAAATTTTATATTTTAGTTGCCACCTCAATTATAAGACTTTTCCACTAATCTACTACCCAATACCTATTTAGGGGGGGTTGATAGGGTGTATTATATCGGTCAAAACACAGTTTACAGGAAAAACTCTCACACCTCGTAGATTGGTCCGATTTCCGTAATTTTTTTTTTGTTAGATAGAGGAATATTTTTTACAGGGCGCATTGGACTTCGATTTTTGATTACGTCGCTAAAAACAAAAAATAATACAAAAACTAAAAAGTTGTAAAAATTGATTAAATTCAAACTTGTAACATGAGACTTAGAAAAATAATGTTGAAAATCCAAGTCCAATGCGCCCTGTAAGAAGTCTTCCTCTATCTAACAAAAAAAAAATTACGGAAATCGGACCAATCTACGAGGCGTGAGAGTTTTTCCTGTAAGGCATGTTTTTGAGCAAAAAAACAGGTCGCGTGCAGGCCCCTTAAGCTGTCAAGGCAAGTCGGGGTCCACGGCTGCAGTGCCGTATTTTGGATTTTTTTTAAGGAAGTTGTCCCCAAAACACTAGTCATTTAATATATATTATTATTATATTAAAATGCTATATACTGGATGATTAATTTCACGTAAAAGGCTCATATTATTTCAAAAAGTATATGGTTTCAAATCATTACGGAACAATATTTTTTTTTTAAATAATTCTAACCTTTTTTGTTTATTTTTTTTTTTTTTGAAAGACAACATACAGTTTTAATTTCATTTTTGAATATTTTTTTACATGTATTTCGATACATAAAAAACAAATTTAGGAAAAGCAGCTTATGAGTTAGAAGTATTTAAAGTTTTGATAAGCCGAGTGGAGTGGTATAAGCCATGCGGTTGCCGGTTATTCCGAAAAATTCAGCTCATCATAACTATAAATACTTTTATCTCATAAATTGCTTGTCGTCCTAAATTCGATTTTTATGTATTAAAAAAAATATATTCTAAATATGGAATTAAAACCTTATGTTGTCATTCAAAATTGTAAATAATTTAGAAAACGTCGAGGATAAGAAATTAAGAAATATTAAAATACCTAATACCTATATGTATTTAATATTTATCTATTTTAAAAATTTTGTTTTTAACCATTAGAAACCATGTAAAAAAATGATTTTCATTAACATCTATACTTTTTGAAACAATGAGTGGTGCATGATAAAGAATCACTTTATCGAGTATAAATTAAAATATAGTGGAGGAAATATTACATAATAAAAAAAATTTAACTAACATAATATACTATCGGCCAAACAAGACATTCGTATAATTATATATACATATATGGGAAAACCGACATTAATGATGTTAATATTTTCGTATATATACTTGGTTAAAAAATAATTTAGATATTTCACGTGCTATAGCGATGGGGGAGGGGACGGTGTCATCTCCCCCAAACACCCCAACCCCTATCGGTAGACCCCACTGACCCCTCAAAAATAAGACGACGATAATAATATACTCACATGCGCTCTCGTACATCTGAGTGTTGTGGATCCCCAGACCGCAGAATATGGCAAAAGCCTCGAACGTCGCCACGTCACAGTCGGTAAATGGAAAACCGGTTTCCTATTTACACACGAAATCAAACCACATGATGTCATTAGGTAGGTACACTTTAATATTATATGGACACACAGTATATCACACTATAGGCGCTGTTGTTAAGAAAAATGGAAATGAACGAAAAGATTTTCGTACGTCATCAATCTCCGTCCGCATGTGATTTACACCATATCGTGTTTACGATTTTGAAAATAAAATATTAGAAAAATAATAACATACCCTGCACCCATATAGGTATATAATACAAACCATACTCGCAGACGCAGTGTATGCTATGCGCTATTATAGTTTTTATATATTTTCAAATTCAGGAAATGTATTATGCGTTTAGGTTTCGTTTTAAGATCATAAAATTTTTAAAATTCTCGACCTTGCCAGGTTTGTAAGTTGCAATGTTGTCAAATTTATACCGCAGTACAGGCAAATATTATAATTTTATTATTACCTACTATTCGATTGTCTAAAAAAAAAAAAACTCTATTATTTTATTATTGTGATTTGTAAAATATTTTGATTGCAAGTAAGTACCAATAGTTAATAAGGAACAATGTCCTTAGGTATTTTTATGAAATCAATGATAATAATCATTTACAACAAAGCTCTGGAATGATTTATCAACTGACCAAATAGTTTTCGATTCGGTGGTAATTTGAAATATAATATCTAATGAAAGCTCAAGCTTGAACGGATTCTGAACACCTATCTCGTTTGATCATCTATGTTATAAAAATATAATAGTCTAAGCCTCTTAGACTCTGAGGTATATTATTATATCGTAGGTTCTCAAAAGAAAAAAAAACACGGAGACTATTGTAATACCTAGTCGATAGATTTAAAACGCCAAGTCATTGAATATTATAATATTTCGGGAGAAATGGCACCCGCACACGCACCTTATTTATCAATTGTGCCACTCCGATCACGTCTTTTTTGCCGTTCAATATCGGCATGCATAGTATGGACTTGATGGGCACATGATCTGTACATCCCTCGTCGCTCTCCATGCTCGGCTGTCGGCTTAACGAGGCGGCCCACACTTGCACGTCCGCTATGTTCAATAACTGTGTGTGTGCCAAAGAGGCATTAGGTATACGTAATTATTATACCTAGGTATATATATATTATGGTTGGTACGACGTGTCGATTTACCCGAACAACGCGAGTTACCTGAGTAGAGCTGGCCACTTCTTGCGCTATCTGAAGCAGTTTGGACGGCTTGACGTTTTTATTGATTTTCTTCACCCCGAGCTCCGAACCCAATTCAAAAGCCGTGGTGAAATTGACGTCCTGAAAAAGGATCGATCGTCAAAACAATAATATTATACAGATGGGCTGCAGAGGTGGCAGGCGATTGACAATATTTCAATCGTAAGACAACACCAACAACTGCAGCTATATAGATGTTAGAATATAATAGGTATTATATTATTATTCTGGTGTAACGATAAATAGTAAATATACTAACCTTTTGCTGTTCTTGAGTAACGGCAACCTCTTCGGCCAACGTGTCAGTGCTCTATATAAAATACAAGAAAAACATATTAAATCGTATTCAGAGAGTGAATTATGTGTACGGTTTCCCTTATTGTTTATCTATTTATTTATTTATTATTATTATTATTTTTTTTTTTTCGTGGTCTTATTACGTTTTTGGTGGACGCTTTTTTTTCCAGCGAATAATTCCCTGGCTTGGCTCCAAAGTGTTCCAAATGGCTCTATAAAGGAATGAAATAAACTGTACACATACAACTGCGCACACACACATACACACACATATATGAATTGAAAAATAACGTTGCCAAAAAAAAAAATCGTACAGCTTCTTCGCATTCCAAGTCCAGCAGAAAGACGACGCAACGTTCGCATTTGATCAGATCTCTGGCCTGGGTCATGATTTTCGATACTAGGCAATCGAGGTTGTTCTGTTCTTCGAATATGCTTCTAGCCAAACTGAGTAACATCTAAAAAAAATCGTAATGGAAATCGTTAAAATAGCGTCCAACAACAATTATACATACCTATCAATAATGACCAAAATATTGAAGTATAACATAGTTTTTTACATGATATAATAGAAGATATTTATTTTTCCCCTCCCTCCCTACCATTCAATAATCGACCCTAATTTTTTAAGTACCTTGATGATTATAATTATTATTATTACATACTAACACGCAATTTAAAATGGGAAAACTTATATAATGCAAGGAATAAGTTTTTATTAATAAAGCAACTAATCAAATTATTCCCATAAAATAGCGACATTGAACGCTAAAAGTATATAGCACCAAACTATTGAAATGACTTTAATGTCGGGAGATTTATAAGAGAATTTGTTAGTGGTAGTTATTAAAATACTTTACGAAACTTTACATATCTTATGAAGTGACGTTCAGAAATTAAACGGTTAGTTATGCAAAATCAATATACAAATACTAATAATTAATAATTACAAGCTACGCATAACAATTTATTTATTTTGAAACACGAATTTCATATAGTTTATAAATTAAAGACTTGGAATGGATTTCTAAAACATTTTTTTTCTAATTCAAGTCTTATAATATTCCAAGTTCAATAATTTTATTCACCTACGTTAATTTATTGATATTGTTAGAACTCATTAATCAATTGTATTGATTGTTATTTATCACTAAATGGAATCATATGATAATAATATATTTTAGTTTATCGATTTCTATGTAAAAATTCGTATATTCTTATTCATATTTTTTCCAAACTCCAAGAATAACTAATTAAAACTATGAATCATTTGTTGACACTATTAAAATATGTAGGTTTCTAAAATGATAAAAATTAAATTATTATAAATTATGTTTTTAATTTATGGAAATTAAAAAATAAATAAGAAAATGGGGTTTTGAGTACTTAGAAGTATAAGAAAAATGAATTTAAATTAAATATTAAAAGATTACAAGTATTCATTCAAGTGGAGTACCTACCTATATAACGAAATTAAATTAATGTACATTTCTTATTATATAGGAAAATATTTGAATTTCATTTTAAGGTTCGTGATTTTTCCCGTGAATAAAAAAAGCAATAATCTAAAAATATGCTGCTCAATTTATTTTACTCTAATGCATCCTTTAACAATGCGGAGACCCGGGTACTAAATTGTCTAAATTTATATTTTACAAAAAACGTAGCAAATTATAATATCATTACCTACGAAACTTTCGGTGAAAACCCAATCGTTCATTTCGGTTTAAATTGAAGTAGAAAATATCATGTAAGATACAAAATGCGACGATAAACTATTTCGTTTTCAAAGGACAAACGCCGCGGGTTATAAGACCCAAAGCGGTGACTATTATAATATGCATATATATAGAGATGTAAAAGAAATAATCTTTTAGTACAATATTCATTATTAGGGTACTAAAAACAGAGAATATTAAGTAATTTTATTTTTTACACATATAAGATCGATTTAGTGTAAATAATGAATTACATTTTCTTTTTTTTGTTATTAAGAAAAGTTGTTCTGTATTCATGCTAAAACACTTTTATGAAATAAACAAACAACTTTTTAAGGACATATTGACAAAGAATATGCGAGTATGTAATGCGTTTTACATTATCTTTCGACTATTTGTGTATAATAAAATATTGATGTGAAGCATTGTGAGCAGAGAAAATGGTAAACGAAAATAATATATTTTCTTCTCTTGCGTCAGTTAAATTATCGTATGCAAAGTGATTACACGCTTTTTCTCGAAAACTATTTTCGATTTAGAAATATTTATTTGAATGATTATAAGTCATCACAAAACAACATATTTTGTTACAAAATTAAATGTTAAGCTATTTTTAATCGTTATAATTTTCTAAGTTTTCTGAATGACATCATTCATTTTTGATTCCATACTCCGAAGAAGAATATTTTTTTAAGAATTTCATTAATGAATACACTATTATTTTTTCCTATATTTGTTCATTAAAACGTCTTCAAGGTCTTTGTCAATGCTCACCAAGAGTGGGTAGTAGGGAGATGTGATCTATTTATCTATGTATATATCACTATATGCATGATACTACTCCCTTCTCCAAGAGGAGACATATGCGGTCTTCCAGTGGAGTGGGGCCTAGTTGGAAATCGGACGACAGCAAGGGAAATTGGTGATCGGGTAGAACCACACAATTTTCTTGCACTTTGCTATAAATCGAACCGATGACTGTGTGAGCCGTAGTCAACTGCGTGAAAACTGCATCACTCAAGCCCCAAAAATACATTATAACAGTTTAATTTTGAACGAGTAAATAATTAATTACAAGTATTTTAAGGTTTAGACAAGTTGACTAACATTTTGTGGGGTACCTCTGTGTGACATTCCACTCCATTCATCAAACAATTGAATTCTTATAATAAACTAACTAGGTAGGTACTAGTTTTACATTAGATTTTTATAAATTTAAATTCTTCTTAGGAATATGAAACTAAAAAATATGTATGCTGTCAGTCCAAAAAGTGAAAAATTTCAAAAAGAACGATAAAAATGTTGAAAATATAATTTTTTCAAAAACATTGATTTTTAAAACATCAAATATTATGCACGAAAAAATGATAAAAAAAAACCTTAATACTTATCAGTTATCGAGTTAACAAGTATTCTTAGTTCTATAATGGGTCTGAGGTATAATAATTTACCACCGTGTATTTAATTTTTTTTTCTTAGATTTGACTAAGTACCTCGTCGATTATTGAAATTGAAAATTGAATACCATTACATTAGTCATTATACTGTATGAGAAGTGAGAATTTCTATATAGTTATGTCACTACAAGGGTTAAAGTGGTAAATATATCTATACCGACCACCACTGCCCGTTTATGGAATTTTTTCTTTATAGCGTGATAAAAGACGATGTAATAATTTTATAAAATGTTCATACAGACACTTAGAATCGGTGATATGATATTTGTCGTTTTTAAACATAAAAATTTGATGTGGTAATCAATTCTGCTACTACCTGCTTAGGAAAACAGTAAAAACATGTCTTACCTAGTTTTGAGATTACAGCGGTAAGGTATATTAGGTACCACTTCAGGTTTTGGTTATTTTAAGTACAAACTAAAATGTATGTAAAAAAAAAAGGAATATCATAAATGGAAATCATAAATGGATTGATTTAAGTATTTTACAGTATTCTCAAACTTTTGGAAGCATAAGTGAGGCGAATGATATTCGTATGAGGTCCTACCGAGTGAAAATGATATTGTTATTTTTTAATAGGTATAATAATATTGAATGTAATATTATTATTATTCACCGACAAACGTAAGTCGTACACGTGAAAGTGTCCAACAACCGGTTGCTGCTATGCCGATCGGCATAAGTATACATTAATATATTATTAAATGCAATTTTATAACATTTTATCATAAAATTATATTTATATATTTAACAATACCAAGTAGCTTCGTATATAATAATTAAATAATTAATAATTGTGTGCGAGGGTTTATCTAGTGATCCATTTGAGGCACGACATAAATTCATTTCAGTCAATTTATATTGCATATATATATATTTTTTTAAATTTTTAAACCATGATTTTCTGTCTTTGTCTTATATACACGCGACATAGGATTTTAGACGTGTTCATTGCCAAACGCACCGATTGATAAGAATTCTGAAAATAGATTTGAATTTGTCAAGTCTACTTGGATCGACTTTCCCACATTTTTGATTTTAATGTCTCTAAAAATTTAAATATTATGACAAATTTCTAATTACTCTTTTTTGTTATAACGTTTTCATGCATTTGAGGGATAATATCAAAAACGTGGGAAAGTCACCTCAAGTTGTCTTGACGACAAATTCAAATTTGTTTTTAGAATTCTTCTCGCTTCATTAGATCTATCGGTATGTTTGGCAAAGAACACGTCTAAGGTCCTATGTGTTGAGTTTGTTGGACCAAGACAGAAAATCGCTGTAGCAAATCCCCTTAATTGGTTTTATTAATCTTTTTTGAGCCCTACCGTTGCTTTTTAATTCCACACTCAGATGCGGTATACGTTTTTTTTTTGTCAATAATTATTTATTGTCAAATATCTAATCACCGGTTCAATATTTACATGAAATATATTATGATATTCAAATTATTCATAATCGTAGGGCGCATATTATTTGTGGTCGCAAAGGGGAAAAAATCGTTTCTTGTGAATTTTTATTGCATCAAACCAATGCTCAACACTGTTAGATACTGGGCGTATAAATATATTATATTAAAATATTAGGTATATAGATAAAATATAAAACTCGAGATGTTTAACTATTAAATTTCTTCATAATGCATAATATTCCATAGACTGTGCGCCAATGAGTGTCGTATAATAGAAGCGTGCGTTATACATCACACGCTATTTTATATTGTAAAAAAACATATTGATCGCTTACTTGATTTCTCTGGAATTCCTGTATAGACTTTTCGAACAGTTGAGCATTTTGTATTCCGATTGCACAGAACGTCAGGTACCTCTGGAATATCTACGCACGCAAACGAGAGAGTCAGTACAAGTTTAGACGTTGGTATTGTTATTACATTTTTTTTTTTTATATAGATTTTGAATAAAAGAGAAAGAGTAGTCTTGACGGTTACAGCTGGTATTAAACAAGCACGTGAAACAATACTAATAATAATAATAATAATAATAATAATAATAATAATAATAATGATAACAATAATAATGATAATATAATATACATAACAGCATACTAGTACCTACCTATAAATTACGATATTGTCAATCAAATAGCGACCGGACTCCAATATACAGAATGTGTAGTTAACTGCCATAGACAGAAATTAGAAGAGTGGGTAAGAGGGCTTCCTCGATGTACCCTTACTTCGTTCATATAAACTTTAAATAGGTAGGTACATAGTTATAAGTTTATAAGTTATTGACTAGTCGTTTGAAATTCCATTTTTATACATTGAGATTCTCGGGAAAATAATTAGGTATAATATGAAATAAAAAATGAACGCTGTCATTAAAAAAACTAAAACTTATAAAATGATAACGATACAAAAAATAGAAATAATGTCGTTTTGTTATGACATCTCTAAAACATTCACACTAGGTAGGCATAATAATATATAGTATACTAATATAATGAGGACTTGAAATTATTACAATTGTTTTGAAGTAAGTATATTGTTTATTATTATTATTATTATTATTATTATTGCTATGTATTACTATTAATCGAACCGCACAACACAATGATAACAACAACAACAACCACTACAACATCGACAACAATAATAATACCTAATTTAATATTATAATGTACCGTTGTATTGACTGCCCGTCGTCGTTTGTATTCGATTATAATAATATTAAATGCGTAGGTATTATTAATGTATTATTATTATACTTGCCTCGACGTCGTGCTCGGTAAACGAGTGGCTGCCGTCGGTCTTGTTGATTATCTGAGCCACTCCGATCACTTCGTTGTCGTAGTTGCAGATCGGCACGCACAATATCAAATTGGTCGTGTAGCCAGTCATGTGATCGATTTCCCGGTTGAACCGTGGGTCCTGGACAAACACGAATAATTGTTATTATTGTTGCGTAGGTATTGTACACTGTACAGTATAATATACATGGGGACAATGGCCATACAAAACACGCAGAACGCGCACATACATCGCACGCGTACAAAGCGATTCGCCAAACGCGCACAACCCCATTGGTGCATCAATTCAAATTTTGTATTTTCGATTGGTTTTTTTGGAGTATAGGTATAGCGAGACGCCATAATACAATTTTAAACGCTTCAAAAAAAAAAAAAAAACAAGTTTTTACCGTCATAACTCTTCATAACCCTCTCGAGCGCCGTAAAAAAATCTGAGTGTCTACTTGAAATAGTTATATGATATGCGGCAAACTGAAAAATTCCAAAAGTACTCAGAGTTTTAAATAATAAACGCACAATACTGTACGATGATACAATGGGGAGGAAGAGCACTATAACGGCGAATCGTCCTGTACAATATCGATGTATGATAATGTCTGCAGTGATGTATTTGCGTTTTCGGGCCACCTCACAATAACACGAGCTTAATATTATTACAGTGTAGGACTTGGATATATAACATTATATGAGCAATAGGCATACAAAATATGCAGACCGTATACGCTTACACAGGTACCTAAAGTTTACAGTATATACAGAGCGATCCGCTAAACGCGCACATCTCCATCTGTGTTATTTAATAATAGTGAGCATCTATTCAAATTTGGATTTTTCGATTGGTTTTCCCTGGTGCCTATACGGAGACCATAATATTAAATTTAAACGCTTAACAACACAAGTTCAAAAATGTCACAGGACAGGCGTACAACTCCTCAGAGGCACACTCGGCGTAAAAAAATTCGAGTGCACTTGAACATAATAATATTATATGCGACAAACCTAAAAATGCCAAAAGCCACGTGGCACAACCTCATCGGTGTTATTCAATAATAGTGCATCTGTTGAAAATTGGATTTTTCAGATGGATTTTCCAAGTATACAGACACCATATAATATTATTTTGAACTCTTGAAAAAAACGGTTTGCATCGTCACGAGATAGGTATTCCTCGTAACGCCTCTGCCCATCACACAAGGCGTACACAAATCCGAGTGCCTACTTGAAAATATTATAATATTTGTAAACTTAAAAATTCCAAGAGTCAGAATTTTAAATACAAACGCACAGTAGGACGATTCAGCTGAGGGTGGGATGAGCACGAACCGCGGGGTGAATCGTCCGGTGCATATGATATTAAGATATAATAATTATAACCGTGATGTATATTTGTTTTCGGGCCACCTCACAATATTTCACGAGCTTAGAATATTATTATCGTTATTAGATAAACTGAACGCGACCGCACAAAATACGCTCCTTACACTATATAATATTATAATATTATACATATTATAATATATCGAACTCGACGTGTCTGATACACCTAACCAAAAAAGAAAATACGATCAATTCGTACTTTACAGTATAATGCATTATGTAATGTTATGCACATAATAATATATCACAGTGGACGAAAATATATTATATAATATATTTATATTATATAATATGCAGAAAGGAATAATATTACTACTGCATGACGGCATATTATACTATATTATACAGTTGCAACGCGTAAAACGTGAGGTTAAAACATTTTTTTCTTAAAATTGTATACCTAGTATGGTATAAGTAGGTACCTCGGGTACATAATGCTATTATCGTTAACTACCGCCGTATAATCATTATTATTATTATTATTATTATTATTATTATTGTATTTTGTGATGTATACAGCGCTAAATAAAGGAGAACAGTATAGGTGTATACCTAAGGATTGTAGTTGTTTCAAAATCGGTTCATTATCGGACATCGAAAACAAAACAAAAACACCACCATGACACACGTGCTCGTGTGTTTTGTAGCTGATACGTTTATTATATTATTGTTTCGCCGATAGCTTAAACGATATTCAATATTATATTATGTTTAATAATGAACGTGAGCCCAGTACGTGTTTTAGGAGCCTATACATTATTTTTTATTTAACAAGAAAATATTATATCGGTTTTGATTTCGTTCTTCGGTATAGGTGTGGCGAATAACGTCCATTTTTTTTCACATCTAACACATTTTTATTCTTTCCAAAATTAAACACATTCATTAGGTATGCAAAATTGCAAAGAAACCCGAACGGGATAAATGTTCAATTAAAATGTTTTAAGTACCCACTCTTTTAAAATTTATATGAAATTCTAGCTCGTTGAATATTTAAACAAAATAACAACGTCTTGAATAGCATCCTTTAATTAAAAATATTTCACTTTTGAAAAACAGAGAAACATGGAAGAATCGTAGTATAATAAATTAAGTATAAATTCGTCGAAATTTGAATTGTAAAGCTCGAATTTCTGGAACTTTGACAACAACTTTTTACTCATTTGGAAAAATTATAATGGTATCCTCAGTTTCTGAAGAAAAAAAATATTCGAATTTACTTTTTTTAAATAATAATAGGTACAATAATCGTAAACGTAATAGAAATTAATTAATATATACAATAATAAATTGTAATTTAAGTTTAAGTTTCAAGTATAATAATAATATTTCTATAATCATCAAACTAAACAGTAAATAATTACATAATCAGTAATCACCCACCTAATAATATAATATCGATTTAACCCATTACAAATAAGCACTGAGTTGTACATTTATATTTTTATGAATGTTTGAAATTACATTTTAAGTATAAAATATGAGGTTCTTCGCTTATGAAGGACAACAAAATAAGAAAATCCATTTTGTCAAAAACTAGTTTTGCGTACAAATTACCGTTTTCTCCCAAGTGTTTTTTGCTTTCGGTTTTCCTGATTATTTTTAAAGTCACTGGTTATTTTATATTCTTAACTCATGTACTACATGTATCCGATTTTCTACCAAAAACCGCATCCTCAAAGTTGAAAATGGAAACATTTTTACTGCTCCAAATGGTGGTGACACAAAAAGATAAATAAATAAAAAAGCTGTCAAGATGGTAACCACTTTGCTGCCAGTGTACGGTAAGTGTTAAGTGTACTTCGAGTACCTATATGTCACTGATGACTGATCTGTAATGGATATGTTACATTCGAATTCAATGATAAATCATTGTATAATATGTACAATATATATAATATGACAATATAAATACGACGATAACGTTTCTGAGTGAAGATGGTCTAACTTTTTGGTAACCTTCGTTAACAAACAATTATTTTAATAATAATATTACGATTTTAACAAATTTTCGTATTTTTTTTTTTTAATTTCTGATTATTTTGAAAAGTACTGGACATTTTTTGGCTTTGGTCTCCCAAAATACAAATAAGATACAATTTGAAACCAGAAACCATCGTCAAAGTTGAAAATTTAAGCATTTTTTATACTATAAAAAGAGATTACTCAAAGATACAAAGAAAAAAAAAACGTTATACCCACGTTGATCATATTATCAAATTATTTGGTATTTTATATGAGGTACCTACATTAAACCAATGTTACAAGTGCGTGCTACTCGATAGTTTTCCTCTACAAGGAAAATCTATGAATCATAAATATGTTTTTGTTAATAAGTAGGTAACCATATAACGAAAATAGGTCAGAAACACAAAACGTGGACCCAGCCCCAAAACATATTATTATATATTTATATTAATAAAATAGGTACACATCAATGTAAAATCAATACACTTATCGCTCTCCTCAGAATCCTAAACAACTGTTCGAATATGTTGATAGTATTAATTGTACCTAATAATAATATATAACACTGTTCACTTGGCTGCGATATTTCATTACAATTTCATCACAAATATATTTGAAAATACTAAACATCAATATGAGGACAAAACGTCCACCCTGCAAAATGTTCTACCTTCGAACATCTAAAAAATTCATGAAACACGATTTATATCTTATAATGTACACAATATGTGTCGAAGCCTGTTCCTACTAAAATTCAAAATGAAAACATGATTAATAACATTAATTGCAATAAGTAAATATAGTTATATGCAATAATAATAATATATATCCCAGATACACGTTTGTGTAGAAATTTACTCAGACATAACCCTGCAGTATACGTCATAATATAGTACCAGAAACCGTCCTCAATTTTGAATATCAAAGCATTTTTTACACTGTAAAAAGTGTCTTCAGATACAAAATAAAATAAACATCATAGTAAAATAAATCAGCACATTCATAGCTCCGCTTAGAATTTGAAATAACTGTTGGAATATTTTGATAGTATTTGTACACTGTGTATGACACTGTTTACTTTGCTGCATTACGATTTCATTACAAATATTATATGAAATATGAAAACTATACTAAACATCAACATACTAACTTATCAATGAAACGTACTACCTTCAAACATCTGAAAAATTCATTAAACACGTTTTGCAAATAATGTAAGTACATAAGCTTCGAAACGTGTACTAAAATTTATCGGGACAATATGATAAATCAAACTAGCAATAAGTAAATACAGTTACTATATGTACAACACATATATTCCGGATACAAGCGAGGAGAAATTTACCAGACGTAACCCCATCGTTCACGTCATCGTATATAATATTATGTTCGAACAATTTTCTTGAGGATTTTTGTATCGCTATATATTTCATGTGAACCCACCACCGCACTCAGCCCTATCCAGAAAGTTTGTTTACTCTGGAGACGTGAACTCCCACGTAAGTGTGCCAGTGGCATTTGGAAGCGTTCCGTCCTATTGATTAAACTATAATGTATAGTGCCGTCAGTAGAATTATTTACTTAGAAGCGACGTTTCAAACGCACGCGAATCATATAAAGGCGCAGTAATTAAAAAATTATCAATTTAATAATTTGAACGCTACACCGTGATTACAATCGATAATATTATTATGCATGATGCCAGTCGTCGACCTCATCGTCAAACTTGTCGACGTTGTATAGGTACCTATGAGTATTTCTTCGAGTTAAAAATGT